GAGTCAGTCACTTTCCCTAGTGCTTTTAAGTCATATGGAAGAAGAGACTCCCTGTCTTTTTATTCATGTACTAATATTTCATTTGCAAGAAAAATAATAAAGACTTAAAATCATAACATTAATAAGTAATCAATTGTTAATGAAATGTTAATTGTAAAAATAATTACTTGTTACTATTACCAACATTAATTTTCAATTTAATTTGAATCGTCTTCAATGATTTTAAAAACAAGATTATGACATGCAACAAAATGTAGCTACAAAATTAGGATTTTAAACACATTTTAAACACTGAAAGGCAAATCCTGGTGCCACTGAAGTAAAATGAGAGTTTTCACAATGACCTCAATGAATCCAAGGTTCCCCTTGCAGCCAAAAACGTTCTATATGGCGAAAACTACAGAGCACCCAAATATATGTCCAGACTCTCACCTTGTATAAACTGGTATTGGTCACTTGACATTAAAGGAGAGATGGCAATTTACTCTAGCCAGAGAACTGGCCCATAGTGAAGAGATAGCAATCATAAGGTGTCAATATTTTGAGGCCTCCGAGAAATGGAATTTCTAAAAGAAGTGTTTGGGGTAATAGCTTCACCATTTTAAAGTTTACTGCAAATGAACCAAAAGGACAAAAATGTTTCTTTTCTTTATGGACCTAACCTGCACAACTCTGAGCATATTTTCTGTCTGCTATTGTTAGTCCAATGGCAGGCTGGTAACGGGCTATCGTATAAGACAAATACTTCAAGTCCCAGAACATCTGACTAGTACAAATCAGCATAGAAGAAGGGATATTTAGTTGTTTGATGAATGTAAGAAACAGGCAGATTTTATCATCATTTAAAAGAAAATCTTGACTTTTGCAATAGTAATATAATTTAGGCACGGTTGATATATTGCATGGCATTATGCAATCTATTTTTCGTGTTGATGTATGATAGTACTTTAAAAGAATAATAAGTAATTTTATAAGTGCCTGCTTTTTTCTTCCCAAATTTTCTGCCACAGATTCTCAACAGGACCATATATTTTCCAATTAGTTATTTTTGTATTGCAAGTGATACCACCTTTTTGTTGGATAAACTCATTTCTCTCTTGATGCATCCTCATGAGAGAGTCAATATATGTGATTTCACTTGGTATCTCTGCCTGTATTTCTTCATATGAAGGAACAGATATAATATTCCATTTTTGTCTTTCCATATTTGTATCAGTCGGTTAAAATTACAATTGAATTGAAAAATAAACTTCAGCCATTTAGCTGGCATACAATAGTGACATATGATTGCTACATATTTAGCCATATGAAAGATGCCTATGTACACTTTGTATAATTCAATCACTTTAACATTCTGTAATCAAAATCATCTTTGTAGCCTGCACATTTTGAAACAACACTACTTCCACTCTCTTACCTAACCACTTAAATATCTGCCTTCGTTTTCAACTATTTTGATCTTATAAAAATAATTCACACAGTCAGCCTGACCCACACAAAACACAAAGAGACTCCTGAAAGGAAAGTGTAATATATTATTGATGACACTAATGAAATTACAACACACATCACTCATCTTAATAGGTCTGTTTCAATGACACAGCACTGTGACCTGAAAAGTACAGCACCAAACTAGGAAACCTAATTAATAACTCCAGGCAGTACTACTGAAAGAGATAAAGCATCTTTATATAACTGACAAATCAGTCCTAAACTAAAGCAAAGGGAAATACAAAAATACAGGTTAAAAATAAAGGCAACCGTTCTTTTTATGAGTAATTTCCATGGCTATGAATATTCCCAGTGTTGATAAAAACAATGACCTGTATTTAAATTTTTTTGTATATACCCGCCTTTACCAATTTAGTATTACTCTGCATTAGACCTCATGACCAGAAATACCTGAATACTAAATCAAACTATTGACTACTATGATGTCTTTCAAAATAAACTAAGCTTCACATACAGTACCATTTATAAGGACCTGCTTTATTTCTAACAATTACCACTAACTATTGTTGGGCTTACGCGAAAGAATGGATTCTATGGTTAAAAGAAGATGACTGTATTTATCTTGTCATTGAAAAGGCTTATTTTACTTGGGAGACAATCATGTATGTAAGTAATGACAAACACATGAAGTCAATTATTATGCCATTTACAAATATCTTCTGATCAAAGAGCTCAGATTTGGACTATGCAGACATAGAAGTAATTACTAAATCATTGGGATGTGACAGCAAGTAAAAGGTCTCACATGAGATGAGTTCAGGTGGTCTCAACAGGATCACATAAAAATCACTTATGGGAAAGTGCAATGGGCACCTCTGTCTAGTCTAGTTACAAAAGTGCTGTGACTACAGCTGCCTCAAACACCCTTGCACGTTCATTTTGTTCGTCTTTAACTGCTTTGCACAGACTCTCTGAATGATTTCGGCACATCTGTTTTTCCTCCTCATCATGAACTTGGTCTGTTCTGAATATATTTTTCTCAAGGCACAGGATCCAGTCTCCTTACATATTTGCCTAATGTCAAGCACATTGCTGGTGAAGTGTAATAAATAATTACAACAAAAATATTCACATGCAGAGATTTACAAATTTACAGGATCTGAGCCGGCTACAGAATGATCGACATAATACCTTAACTGGCACTAAAAATTGCATGAGCTTTTTAAAATTTTTTTATATCAGCTTGTACCTATGAAAACTTTATGTGTTGGTGCAGATGAAGGTTTCCCATTTCCTCTTCTATGTAATCTCTCCTCCCTCAATCCTTTTTCTTGCCTTTTTTTCCTCACTGTGTTGACACACTACAAATTGGTTATTGCGATGTGTTGTGACTATGGCGTAATTGAATGCTGATACTGTAACATACAAACGGCATTACAAAACTCTACCTTAGGGTACATCATTTTTGTTGCTAGCCAAGTAGAAATACCATTAGCTTTTTATCATTATTGTCATCATTGATGTATAGATTTTACGCTTCACTACTAGACT